GGGGGGGGCGAAGAGTTAGCAGTGAGGCTGACTGTACTTCATGGGCACTCCCATATATTTTATTCAAATTGGCTGCACTAGCCAATCTTTGTGGTAGGTTCCCATCAGCATATTGGTCCAGCGTAGGCCATGTGTTTGAGTCATGCACAGTGTTAGCTGCTATTAAATCAAATTCATAGCTGGTTTCCATTGATAAGTGCATGCTGCTTTTGACAGCAGTTTAACAGATGCTGCATTTAGTGAGATTTTCTTGTATGAATTTACAAGATGAAGGACTTCCTCCCCCAATACTAATGTGGGGTGGGGGAGAACAAACTCATCTTGTATTTGAGTAAACATGGTATATAATTTCTTAATTAGATGTGTATCTATAAAACTAACCCAGATTAAAAATATGTTGACTGGCAACTAAAGTATAATCTTTACTCTAAATTCAGTACTATTTTTATGGTTACCAACTAATCTTTAGGAGTATAAAAAAAAGGCAAAACAAGATAAAAATTGATCATTTAAATCCTGGTTTCCTACTTACATATTTAAAGCAAACCCATCCTGCCTACCATGTCAGACCTAGTGCTTGATAAGCACCGTGAAGTGCACAATAATATTAAACAATATGCAGTGGTAAACCAAGGAGCTTTGCTAGGGCCGGGGAGCTAAGAGCTGTGCCTGCCTCACCACCACTTTCCCCAGTCCCTGGCCGTGACACAGCTTCCAGGTGGCGAGGAGCTGCGCCACAGCCAAGCAGCTTGAAGTGGCATCTTCGTTGCAACCACTTCTCTACCCTCCTTGCTGCGATACAGCTCTCCACCAGCTAGAAGCTGCACCCATATTACAGCTGGGGAGTAGGAGTCTCAAGAAAGCAGCAGTGGCTCAGGCAGAACTTCCAGCTGCCTGGCCCTGGCGCAGCACCTTGCTCCCTGGCCTCAGCGCAGGCACAGCTGTAAGCCCCTCCAGCTCAACGGGCAGGATCTGGCCCACTTGCCATATGATGCCAACCCCTGCTCCAAGACAAAGTGGTTCAGGGAACACAATAGAATTGGTGCTTGTGGAGTAAGAATTTTGTTCACATGGAATAATTTTAGGCTTCCAAAAAGGTTAACACACTTAATAGAAAGGATTTAAAAAAAAAAAAAGAAGACACCGTGCCTGACTCTTCTGGCATGAAAACTATGGTTTTCCCCATGCATTCAAAGCTCCTGCAATACATTTAGTAAACAATTGAAGCTCGGAAGTGCTGATGAATAGGCCCAATTGCTTTTATGGCGATTGGAGTAAATATTTACACGTGACAAGATGTGCATGTCACATCTGGAAATACAGGAGATCTTTAAACCGTACAACATGGTTAGATCAGACATTTCTACATCCCTACGTTTTCTTCCTAGGTTCTCAAAAATATTGGAGAGATTCTCAACAAAACCAATGCTGCCGATGCATTTGGAAAAACACTAAGCCACTTGTTCACAAAACCTGGAGTCCAAACAGTGCCTGACCACAGAGTAAGCACAACTGATTTGCTGACAAGAAGACTGGGAGGAAAGTGGTTTTGTTTTACCCCTGTTCAGTACAAGTTTTATCATGTCTAAATAGGTGCTTTGTGTTGCCCTCTAGCGTGACACCATCTCTTGCAGCCGAAGTAACCGCAGAACTTTCCTAAAAAGACACCGTACAGACATTCTTTTGTAGACAATTTCAAAGAGTTTTTTTTGCTGAAGTGCTCAAAATACAAAGTTTATTTTATACTTTCAAGCATTAGGGCACAGTTGCCAACTCAGGGTGGGGACGGAACATGGTTTTCACTGAATTTGGCCAATTCAGCAGGTTTTGGGTCACAGGGTCTATACTAATAGAATATCCTGCCCACATATTTAGAGTCGGCTCCCACAATCTTGAACCTGGCTATTAAATAAACTGCATGGAACTACAATGTTAAAAGGATTAAGTCCCCTAACAATCATGCTGGGATTGAGAAGAATTAAAGATTTAAATGTATGTTAATTGTTGGCATAAAGTCTTCTCAGACAGGTTGTATGTAAATGTCTAGAGGACAGAAAGCAGACTAGCTCATGGGGAGAAGCAGTGGGAGAGAGGAAGCCTGCAGGACTCTGAGATCATTACATTTTCCACTGCAAATATACTGCTGAGAGCCGTATTCTGTTCAAATTCACCTTCCCTCCCTTCCCTGATGGCAAGCCCTATACTACAGCTGATCAGAGGAGCAGTTTGTACAAGGCTACAGGTGAGGAGTCTGTTCAGGTGTTTCTACTCTAACATGGGCCAAAACACATGCTCCAGTTATACACAGTTATTACTGGAAACCAAGCAGAATGTGCATCCTAGTGAAAGAGGGAGCGGGCAGAGAGCACAGGTGGGGCAGGAAGCAAATCAAGAAAACACACAGAATGAAAAAGGACTGAAGGAGATGAGAGAAAGGGCAGAAAAAATGCTGAACAGTCTTTTGATATAATGGCATTTCAGGGAGAAGAAAAGGAACGCCCATCTGTTGCAATGAGGGCTTCAACAAAGAGATAGGGAACTGGTGCACTGTGGCAGACGTCCAAGA